ACAAAATGAACATGAAGCAAATAAATGGACGATAAGTTGCCATACAATATTTTCATTGGTTTATGAGTCTACAAGTTTTCGACGATAATATTCGTTCGACATAAGTGCAACGTAATGAACTAAGTCCCACGACGTAATGAACCTCGTCGTCCGGTACAAGAAGGGGGTTATCGTACTCCACATCAAGAAGGGGGATCCGCTGGTGCGGCGTGAGAGGGGCCATCCTGTTACAAAATGATAAACAAAGGGTTAGAGTATTCAAATTAACAATTTTTAGATTAACATTATGTAGCATTGCAAAATTTGAACTATTTGTTATGGAATACGAACACAATATGAAATCACCTTGTGCCTTCTATGCCTGCTAACCTTGTGGCCAGATTGTTTGCAAACGGAGCAAAGATTCCTGCCACGGGTCGCGTTGAAGTCTCCCCCGCCATACATGTCTTCGTCGTACCCTTTCATAGCATCCATGTCCCCCTTCAGTCGCTTCTTCTTCCTCCTACCCTTCCCTACCTTCATTAGATCCGGATGCGGCACGTAGTCATAACCATTATAAGGTGGCCACTGTGTTGGGTCAAGGTATGGCTCGAAGCTCTTCTCCCAAATACTAACGGTGTTCGAACGGAGATAAATGGGTGACATATATGGCAGATCCTCATAGTTGTACCCACGAACCCTGCAGGCCGTGATCATATGAGAGCAAGGGGCATGCATGATCTGAGGGACGTTGCAACTGCACTCTACCTTTTCAAGATCAACTCGATAGTTTCGTCCACCATAACGTTCGCCGCCTAGGCTTGTGCCACCCTTGCCCCGTACACTAAAGATATGGCGGCGGGGTCCATATGGCTCAGCGGTGAGCTGCTTGGCCAATTCCTCGGCCTCCTTCAAATGTTCAGCTCCGGCCTTTCCAAAATGCCCCTGCTCAGCTATATTCTTCTGCGCAAGCTCCCACCTCTTCATAAAATATTCGTTGCACTTATGAAATGAGAACTCAACAATTCCAAACACAGGCAATGATCGAACTCCGGTGAATACACGGTTGAAGGACTCTAAGGAGTTAGTGGTCATGATGCCATACCTGAAACCCCCTCGTCATATGCTAACGCCCACTGAACCTTCTGTTCCATCTGCGCCTCTAACCAGGCATTTCCCGCTGCATTTACTATCTTGTCTAGTTCTCTCTTTGTCTCCTTAAACTGGTGCTCTGTACACAACATAGAGCCTTTACCTTGTCACATACCTCCTGCTTCCACTGATGCCGCCAGAAATTATCGGCAAAGTGTCTCATGCACCATCTATGTACTAGAGGCGGGAACCCATCTATATGCTCAGCTGCAGCATTAAGAAGCCCTGTGTGACGGTCGGAGATCAAACATATAGTGCGAGTTGGGCCAAGCACTTGCACACGAAGAAGCCGCATGAACCATGACCACGATTCATTGTTCTCTCCCTCTGCCAAAGCAAATGCGACGGGTACTATCTGGTCCTCAGGATCAACAGCAACAGCCATCATCAAGGTGCCCCTGTACTTTCCTGTCAGGAAAGTGCCATCAACAAGTACGACTGGCCGACAAAACTGGAATGCATGTTCAGTTGGTACTAGTAATGGCATAGTATGTACCGGTACTGCCATGGCATCAGCCGTTGTTGGCATAGCATCTGTACCTCCTTGGTCATCATTAGAATCGTCTAAATCACTGCTAACCACATCACCAATCCTGTCCTCCTCCTCCTGCTCCTCCTCTTCCCGTTCGAACTCATTCACATCGAAGTCACTGCTTATACAGCCTACTGTAGTTGAATGAAACTGCTTCTGCGTCAACTGACCGTCCAAATTCATGTTATCCTGAGTTGCTTCTCCTTCGACCCCTAATTCTTTTTCTTTGCCTCCAAATCTATCAATGGACGGCCCGTCCTAAACACCATGCATCCTCTACCCATTCTCCACCACCACCTCTGCATGGGCACATTGGATCCTTGGAGAACCCTAGTGTAGCGAGACCAGTGAGCAGGGTCGTGCAAGGGCATGATGACATAGTGTGCCCTAGTCTTCCCAGTATCAAACCTACCCTTTAGTGTGAAATCACCGCCAAACTTTATATTCAAACGGACACAAAGGTCGTTGAAGCTAGGAGGTTCATCAAACCATTCTAATTCTTCTTCCATATCCTCAAATATACCATCATCTCTCCTAACACTTCCTCCGTACAAAACTCTAACACAACAATCCATCTGCAAAAGCATTTCAAGAAACTTCATTAAGTCGTCGAAATCATCGTACGTAATGTTCATACTAACATTAATATATTTTCTAACTATAACTATACTAACTAATCAAATATTAACATTTATACAAGGCATACTATAGTTGTACTAACTAAACTACATATACTAACTTATTATATTTCGTATACTAACTAAACTAACTAACTTTACTAACTATATTTTAATAATTTTACTAACTTTATTAACTGTGCTAACTATATTAGTGGAGTACCTCGTTGCAGCGCGTAAGACCGGGCCGAGAGGCGTGAGCGCAGGGCAGCCGCCATGCGTGACCGGAGGGGGAGGCGCGTCAGCGCGCACCCGGCTGCCTGGCTGGCGTGGCTGGGCGGACGCGGCTGGCTTGCGGGCTTGGCCGTGCTGGCAGGCGTGGGCGGACGTGGCCGCGGCGGGCAGGCTGGTAGGCGCGGGCGAAGGCGGGCGCGGCGGGCAGGCTGCCTTGCTGCGCTGCTCGGAGAACGGCGACTGCTCGGTCACGCGGGCCGCGACGGAGGATATACCCGGCTCTGCCGCGCCATGGATCAGGGCGCGGCACTGCCGTGCCAAGATCGGTGGCGCGGTAGAGCCTTGCCCCGTCAGCTGTCAGCGCTTCTGGTCGCCGCCATGTCAGCTCCCTGCCGCGCCACCATGCATGGCGCGGCACAGGCATTTGGCCACGCCAGGAAAATAGGCGCGCCCAAAAGTGTTAGTTTTTTTTAAAAAAAACCGAGAGTGTTAGATTTAAAATTAGTTTCGAAAAAGTGTTAAAATTAAAAAAAAATTCTGCATAAGCAAGCAAGTGTAGGTACAGGAATAGGATGATGCGGCAACATAGTGTACGTACGTGTGGGGTATCTGTGCTGTAGCGCTGTACAAATTCATAGGTCGTTCGTTTTTTCTAAAAAAAAATATAGTAAAAAATATGTACTACTCTCTATTCTCGTCCGCTTCGCTGAAAAAATAAGTTGAAATACTATTCCGACTAATTTGTTGTGAGAGAAAAATACTATTTCGGCTGAAACACGTTACATGTACCCTCAGAGTACCAGCAGGTCCTTGTTACGAATCTAGCTAGCTAGCTAGCGTGTGAAATCAAAACAAAGCCGGGCGTTTTGTTGTGGTTCTGGGATTGAATTATTACGCGTGGTTTGAATGAAAAAGCTAGCTAATGAAGGTGGCGAAGGAATCCCGTACAGTGAGAGCTGCCGAATTAGGGACGCAAACATCCGCATAAAACGAAAAGGGTGATGGCGGCACTAACATGGCGCGCATGTGCTTTGCGGCGACATCCCACACCGAATGAGAGGGTATATACGGTCCCGGCCGGCGATCGATTTCAATAACAATCGCGGTGCCGACACTGTCAATCTCATGACGGAACGGATCGAAACACAGAGAATTACTGCCGCGGCGCCGTCATTTTCTAGGCTTCTTCTGGATGCATATCGTCAGTCGTCACCCTGCTGTTTTCAGTTTCACTGCAAGCACACGCGTGCCGCCTCCGGTAGGAGTAGTACTATCGTTGGGCCAATGCAAAGATCGATCGATGGAACACGTCGTAACTGCTTCAACTGCTCACCACCACATCTGGGAATTCGAACAAGTACAGAGACAGCTGCGTGCAAGGCCGTGCAGCCGATCCGGGAAGCTTCCGTTGCCAGATTTAGGGCTGGTTTAAATCTTGGAGGTAAAGTTTGTGAGCGTCATATCGAGTATTACATGAGATGTCGTATAGAGTGTTTGGATACTAATAAAAAAATAAATTATATAATCTGTCAGTAACACGTGAGACGAATTTATTAAGCCTAATTAATTCATCATTAGCATATATGTACTGTAGCACCATATTGTCAAATCATGGACTGATTAGGCTTAAAAGATCCGTTTCGAAAATTAATCGCAAATTGTGTAACTAATTATTTTTTAGTCTATATCTAATATTTTATGTATATATCAAACATTCAACAAAATATGGAGTAAACTTTGAAAGGAAGAACGAAACAAGACCTCAGCAAAGATCACGCACGCATCTCGCTCAGTCACCAACCGGTTGGTTGGAGGAGGAACGGGGGCTGTAGCAACTATAGTAGACTAGCTAGAGCGATTGTGCTGCACGAGGGCTGGGCTACTGGGACCAGCTTTGCCTCTAGGAGCAGTAGTGCTCTACAGGCGCCTGCGGCATTGCAGCTTGGCGCTTTGCCGAGGCGGGGCACTGGGGCAGGCACCGCACCGGGACCGGCAGGCGGCAGGTGAGTGTGAGCGAGAGGTCAGAGATCTGCCGCGCCAGTACCGCGGCTTGCACCGCACCGGCCGATCTTGTTCCGTCCCCTCACATTAATAAACTCCCATCAACGCCCAGTGGCGTCACGTTGCGTTCCTCATTTACTCCTCCTACCACACTTGCCAACTCCGCCTTCTGAGCGGGAACACAGTCACACACACAAACAGAGTCTACTTTGTGTACCACCTCTTCTCGCTCCTCTTCCCTATATATACACTTTCGTGGACTACACACTCTCCAGGAGCTTCAGCAGCCCAGGTGTGTGTCCTCCACTAGCTCGATCAGCAGCCACTGGCCGGTAGCTAGCTATCAGAGCCCCCCGGCCCGAAGCTGAAGCTAGCTAGCAATGGCTGCGGCGACTCCTCCTGGTCGTCGTCCTAGCAGCAGCTGCTGCTGCATTTCACGGCGCGCTGACACTGCTGTGGTGCCGGCCTTGCTGCTGCTGGCGGCGATGGCTGCGTCCTCCGGCGACGCGCAGCCTTCGCCGGGGTACTACCCGAGCTCGAGGTTCAGGCCGGTGCCGTTCAACCGCGCCTACACCAACAAGTGGGGCCCGCAGCACCAGACGCTCTCCGGCGACCATTCCTCGCTCACCATCTGGCTCGACAGGACCTGCGGTATGTTACGTAATTATTATTTTATTATTATACTGAATTACTCTGATACGGAGTAGGCGATATCTACAAAAGAAAGAAAGCAAAATTCTTGCTTTTGTTTTGCTACAAGTGTCCCGATGTGGCTGTGGCCGTGCCCAAGCCCAACTGCCCATGCATGTGATCGATGTGCCCCGTTTTTCACGTATTCGGACCTTGCATTGTTTGTTGGTCTCGCTGCTGACAAAGACATCACTGCTCCCGTGCATTGTGATAAGAGAGCACTGCGCACTGGTCTTTTTCAACTGTTTCCCACTAGCTCCCAATACATCTCTACGTTTTGGATAGTGGAATATAAGTTCCGCTAGCAGTAAACGACTCATCACAACAATAATCATGCATGGTACCTACTGCTGGCTACTGATTTGATCGTGTTCGCCAATAATGCGTGCGTGCAGGGAGTGGTTTCAAGTCGAAGCACGCGTACTGGAACGGCTACTTCTCCACTCGCATCAAGCTCCCCGCCGGCTACACCGCCGGCACCAACACCGCCTTCTACGTAAGCAATCATGCAGCTGACCTCTCACTTGCATTGCGGCATTGGGGCTAACACATGATGCATATCTCGCAGCTGTCCAACAACGAGGCGCACCCTGGTTTCCACGACGAGATCGACATGGAGTTCCTGGGCACGATCCCGGCGAGCCCTACACGCTGCAGACGAACGTGTACGTCCGCGGCAGCGGCGACGGCCGCATCGTGGGGCGGGAGATGCGGTTCCACCTGTGGTTCGACCCCACGGCGGCGTACCACACGTACGCCATCATGTGGAACCCCGACGCCATCACCTTCTTCGTGGACGACGTCCCCGTCCGCCGCTACGAGCGCCGCGCCGAGCTCACGTTCCCCGACCGCCCCATGTGGGTGTACGGCTCCATCTGGGACGCCTCCGACTGGGCCACCGACGACGGCCGCCACCGCGCCGACTACCGCTACCAGCCCTTCGTCGCGCGCCTCGACCGCTTCGTCGTGGCCGGGTGCTCCGTGAACGCGCCGCCGGCGTGCAGGCCCGTGCCGGCGTCGCCTGCCGGGGCTGGGCTCACGGCGCAGCAGTACGCGGCCATGCGGTGGGCGCAGCGGGAGCACATGGTTTACTACTACTGCAACGACTTCCGCAGGGACCACTCGCTCACGCCCGAGTGCTAGCTTAGCTAGCCCGGTTGCTGTTGCTGCGTGCCGCCGGTCGCTTGATTGTTGCTTTGTGTTTTGTTTCTTTGCTAGTACTACAGTGGTAGTGCTATGGTAAGGTGTGTGGCTGCCCTACCACCGCCGCGGCTCACTGCTTGTGATGAGGCGCCCGCGGAGCCCGGTGGTTGAGGCGTTGGTCGTTGGCGTATCGCCGACAAGGTGGTGTGTCGCCGTTCGTTTCTTCCCGTTGTTGCTGCTTTCCATTTGGTCTCGCGTGCATGCATCACATGCGATGCGATGCGAGGCGCCCCAAAGGGGCAAGCGTCCACTATGTACACCACATATATTATATATATATATTTAATACATGTCTCCTGTCGGTGAGGTTATACTATGTGATTGTTGTAATGCAATTTTTACCTTACAATCGACTTGTTGTTGCTGTTGCTGGGGTCGGTGGTGGTTTTTTTTAGAAACAGAGTACAGACACTTTACATTGCTGGAGCTGTTGATTTTTTCAGGCTAGACTGCTGTCAACATCGCCGTGGGACCAGGGAAAAAACACAACAAGGCTGCGTTTACGTGCAGACATTGACCATAGCAGTAGCAGTGTCCAGTGGGCCGGGCATGCCGCTTGCCGCATGGCGAACGCCGGTGCGGCAGTGCCACTAACTGCAGGTCACTCGGGTAGATGCAGGGCCTCAAGGGCTGCTATGATACAACCATGACATCAGAAGAGAAGACGGCGTTTTGAGAATCACAAGCAAGGTTTTTAATTTCAGTATCGCCAAAATTTCGGCCACCACCGAAATTACCAAATTTCACAAAATTCGGCCAAAATTTCGCCGAATTTTTTTTTTAGAGATAAGCACATGAAGTATGCTTTTTCTAAATTTTTTTTGGATCTAAACAAATATTAGTATGATTTATGACTACATAACTATTAAATAGAAGAATATGCAATATAAACAATAGAAAAATATAAGATTAGAGTTATATAGCACATGTATTAGTGTATTAAAAAATTTCGGAGTTTTCTTTCGGCCACCACCGAAATTACCGAATTTCGTGAAATTCGGCCGAAATTTCGCCGAAATTTTGAACCCTGATCACAAGAGAAGACAACTAAATACAGAAGAGTGACGACTGTACTTGAGCTCATTGGGCTGAATAGGAGAATAGATTTCAGTGGGCTCTTACATCTCGGCTTTCATCGGGCCGTTACACTTTTATCCCTAAACCGGTTAACCCACATAAAAGCCCAGTCTACTACTAGATTGGATGCGCTATGCGTGTTTCACTGGGCCTGAACTGGACCTATACCTTTTCCATCTCAAGTGATTTGGGCTGAGAACCTTTTCCAAAATATAATTTGGAACGAAGGGGTAATATGTAAATCAATTGCTCCACCTCAGAATCCAAATTGTTCGGTTGTTCCATGCAATGTAGATCCACATTTTACACCTCTCCATCTTCTTGGGCACTTGCTTCTTCAAGAAATGACATTATTTATTGACAAAATACAACTAAAAACTTCCGTGCATGTTTTATTCAGGGGATTGTATTGGCTATGGTTCTAGACACCGTTGCAACGACTTGAGGATCACCAAGAACTGCATATTTGGCTTGCCAAAAACTCACTATGACATAATCCCTCATCACAGACGGGCCTCAACTTCGTCATAAACAGCCATGTCAAGCGTCTGTGCTGATGTGTCTATGATTTGATCACATCATAGACGATGCTACAACTCGCAATGATTATTGGAGCATTAACGACGCTAGCAATAATTATTGGAGCAGGAACAGTCACATCATTCCCTCCCCGCTAGAAGCAAAGTTGTCCTCGTCTTTGGAGGAATTTGAGCGAGCCCATTCTCTCTCTTTTTTTTTCACTAGAGGAAAAACCACTCGGCCTGCTGCGGCTGACCATCAGGCCCAACAGACGGCTCTCCCGCGTGCGCGTGCTGACGGGGTCCATGTGGCCAGGGTATGCAGGTGCTGCTGTGCTCGTGGGCCGTAGGCCGTGGGCCACGCGTTGGCGTGCTGTCGACTACAAGGTGTGGAGTCGTGAGGGGATAAGGGCTGCTGTACCCGTACGTGGACCATACTAGCATAGTATGCAGGGTGGTGACTGGTGACCTAGCGACGTTTCTGATCCGAATTCTCAGAACAAGGAGAGAGATACATACTCCTAGTCCTAGGTTGCAGCCGTCAGCCGTGGAAAAAAGAAGCTGCATATTGGAGGCATCGGCTTGGCCGACGTGCGGCCAGGGCAGCAGCATGCAGAGCGCTGGACTGGGTCGGACCAATTGTGCTGTCCATCTGTGAGAGGCCGCCGGTGTGGAGAGAGGCCGAGAGGGTGAGAGAAAACGAGTCCATGGCAAGGTCTCCATTATATAGGAGGACTGGAGGAGTACAATGGCAGCATCGCACACGTAAACCTCACCTCAGTACGCAGTCCATGGCTGAAGCAGCAGCCATGCGAGCTGTGCTCGATCGAGGCGCCCGGCGTTAAGGGCCAGGAGGTGCTCCGCCTCCTGTGCGACGACGCTACTAACGAGAAGGACGCCGTCACTGGTCTTATCCGCCGCATTGTAACGGCCGCAGATCCTCCGGTGACGAGCGCGTTCAGCGTGCTAAACCTCAGCAAGGTGGTCGAGCTGTTCGCGGCGTGGCGGCGTGGGCTCAAGGGTGTGCCGCCGTACTACGCCGTCAAGTGCAACCCCAACCCGGCGCTGCTCGGGGCCCTGGCCGCTCTCGGCGCGGGCTTCGACTGCGCCAGCCCCGCCGAGATGGACGCCGTGCTCGCGCTAGGCGTCGCCGCCGACCGCGTCGTCTACGCGAACCCATGCAAGCCCGAGTCGCACATCCAGCACGCCGCGAGCGTCGGCGTTGACATCACCACCTTCGACTCGGTGGAGGTCGACAAGCTGACGCGCTTCCACCCGAGGTGCAGGCTTCTGCTCCGGCTCAAGGTCCCCGACGTCGGAGACGCCCTGCTTGACCTGGGCACCAAGTACGGCGCGCGGCAGGAGGAGGTGGCGCGGCTCCTGCGCGCCGCGCAGAGCGCGGGCCTGGCGGTCTCGGGCGTCGCGTTCCACGTCGGGAGCGCCGTGTCCCGCGTGGGCGTCTATGACGTGGCCGTGGAGGCGGCCCACGCGGTGTTCGACGCCGCCGCGGCCCGCGGCATGCCACCCATGCGCGTCCTGGACATCGGCGGGGGGTTCATGGCCGGCACCGCCTCCACGTTCCAGGACGCATGCGACGTGATAAACTCTGCGCTGACGCGCTGTTAGCACCAGGAACACGTTCAAACGCTGTATGTGTGGATGGATCAAGAATCAAATCGCAAGAACACGAAGAACACAGAGAATGTTCAGGCAACCGCCACCATGGCGACAGAGTGACAGCGCCCTTTTAAACTTTCAAGTTCTCACAACACGATATGCCTAACCGGCTTACAAGACGTGATACCCACACATTGATGTCTCCACTCCTAATACATGGAGCTAACTCAGCAATTTTACACAAAGACACCTGCTAAAATAAAGATACGAAATGCTGAAAAACACATTCTTTAGAAAACCGCCAAGTCGTGGACTCGGTCACCGCCTCAGCTCCTCCCACTGCGCGTCCAAGTTTCAAACTGAAACTTTCCCGCTCCCAGCTCACCTCCTGGCTCTGAACTCCTCTGAATGCATCAACAGCGATACATCTTATCAGGCTTACACCAACAGGCTCCCCCCTAAGCCTGACAAGCGCCGAGGTCTCTCACCCCAAGCAAGTGTCTCATTACTGTCAACTTAGCCATTGGCAGTGCTTTGGTCAGAGCATTAGCCTTCTGCTCATTTGTGCTCACTCTCTTCACAATGATCTCACCTCTCTCTATGCACTCTCTTATAAAATGATATTTGATCTCTATATGCTTGCTTCTTCCATGAAACACTGCATTTTTCATGAGTGCAATAGCTGAGTTGTTATCAACAAAGAGTGTCACTCTTCTTTGCTTCTTACTTGAGTACTTCACTAAACAAGTTTCTCAACCCTAACGCTTTCTTTGTCTTTCACTGCTGCGATGGTCGCCTTGAACTCTGATTCACATGATGACAAGGAAACTGTCTTTTGCTTGAATGAGTTCCAGGTGATCAGATTTTCTTCGAGGTAGAAAGCCATTCCACCTGTGCTTCTCCTCTGAACAACATCAGATCCATGGTCACTGTCAGTATAGCCCACCAACTCACCTGCATTCCCACCTTGGACATAAACCAGTCCAAATTCCAGTGTTCCATGCAGATACCTCAGTATCTGTTTGACTGTCTTGACATGCATCACTGTGGGGTTCTCCATGAACCTACTAGCAACTCCAACTGAATATGAAAGATCTGGCCTTGTGTGTAACAAGTATCTGAGACAGCCAATCATCTTTCTATACTCAGTTGAGTCCACAGGCACTCCACCTTTATCAGCATCAAGTTTGTTCCCTGGTTCCATGGGTATTTTGGTAGAGTTGCAATCCTTCATACCAAATTGCCCAAGCACTTTCTTGGCATAACATGACTGCTTCACAGTGATAAAGTCATCCCTCTGATCAACCTCTATCCCCAAGTAGTAAGACAGTAAACCCAAATCTGTCATCTCAAACTCAATCATCATTTCAGTTTTGAACAACTTGACCTTGGCTAGATTTCCTCCAGTAACTATCAAGTCATCCACATAAACACCCATGATGACTGCATCAGTTCTTGCTCCTCTGATGTACACAGCCTGCTCACTCAAACATCTGCTGAAACCAAGCTTCTTGAGGCTTTTGTCCAACTTGACATTCCAAGCCCTAGGAGCTTGTTTCAATCCATAAAGAGCCTTGCTCAACTTGAACACATTCTGCTCTTTACCTTTCACAGCATAACCTTCTAGTTGAGTGACATAAACCTCCTCTTCTAACTCACCATGAAGGAAAGCAGACTTGACATCTAGATGGTGAACTTTCCAACCCAGATTAGCTGCTAATGCTAGGATGAATCTCACAGTGTCCAGCCTAGCCACAGGAGCAAACACCTCCTCAAAATCAACTCCTTGCTTCTGCACATATCCCTTAGCAACTAATCTTGCCTTATGCTTCACCACCTCTCCATCAGAGTTCCTTTTTAGCTTGTATACCCATTTAAGGCCAATGGGCTTCTTGCCAACTAGTAGCTTAACCAGCTCCCAGGTTTTGTTCTTTTCAATGGATTCCATCTCCATGTCCATAGCCACTATCCACTCCTGATGACCTACTGCCTCTCTGAAACAGGTAGGCTCCCCAGTCTCAACTAGCAATGCTTGCACATCTGCATCCTCTAGTTCATCTTCTGAATCAACAAGCTCAATTTCAACAGTTTCACTATAGACATCATTCAGATTTCTGTATCTAATAGGTCCACTGCTACTCCCTGAGCTTGGTGTGGATCCACCCTCAATTTAGGCACTGTTTTGTGGTGTTAATGGTTCTACACCTGCAGGTTCAGATTGATCTGTCTGAATTGAGCCTGAAACAGGTGACTGTAACATATCTGGCAATGCACCAGAATTGCTACTGATGTCATCTGCTTCCCTGCTGGTTGAACTCTCCCCTACCTGCTGATCAACAACAATGTTCTCACTGTCACCCACAGAAAAATTCTCTGAATCAGCTTCAGTTTCCACCACAAACTCAACTAAATTTTCAGCTCCTACTGATCCCTAGTTCCACACAACAGATTCTTCAAAGACAATATCTCTGCTCACTATGATCTTGTTTGTGTTAGGATCAAACAACCTATGAGCTTTGCTGCCTTCCTCAACTCCAAAATAGACTAGGGGTCTACTTCTGTCATCAAGTTTCTTCAAATGTGGTGCATTTATTTCTGGCATGTGCAAAGGTAAACCAAAAATCTTCAGATGCCCCAGAGATGGTTTCCTCCCTGTCCAAGACTCATGAGGAGTGACATCTCCCAACACCTTGGTAGGCAGCCTATTCAACAAATACATAGCATGCCTAACAGCCTCCCCCCAAAATCTTCCAGGAATTTTCATGCTTTTCAACAATGATCTGGCCATTTCCATCACAGTCCTATTTCTTCTCTCCACCACACCATTCTGTTGTGGTGTATATGGGGCTGTGAGTTGCCTCTTAATGCCTGCTTGTTCACAAACTCCTGCAAACACTCCAGCAAGAAACTCTCCTCTATCTGATCTGAGAGTTTTGATTCTGCAGCCTGTGAAGTTCTCCACTTCTGCTTTGTACTTGACAAAATAATCAACAGCTTGATCCTTGGATTTTAGCAGATACACCTGCATCCATCTTGAGTGGTCATCAACAAGTAGCATGAAGTACTTGTTTCCTCCTGCAGTGGCTGGTGTCACTGGCCCACACAAATCCACATACACCAGAGAAAGCTTTTCTTCTGCATGCCAATTTGCTGATTTAGGAAATGGCATTCTAGTTTGCTTGGCTGCCAAACAGTCACTGCAAACTTGTTCAGGATGGCTTATCTCAGGCACCCCACTAGCCATCCCCTTCTTGACCAACTGATTCAAAGCTCTGAAATTCACATGCCCCAACCTGCCATGCCACAGCCAGGCTTGATCTCCAATATCTGCAATCAAGCATCTAGGTTCCACAGTTTTCAATTCTATTTTGTACAATCTATTCAGTGTTCTAGGGACTCTCATGATCATTCTTTCAGACTGCTTCTCACAAACCTCTAGCAGATCATCATCAAGGACAATTCTGTGGCCAATTTCAGTCAATTGTCCTAAACTAACTAGATTACTTCTGAGCTTAGGTATGTAATAAACATTAGAAAGTACCCAATGATCCCCATGCTTTCCCTCAAACACAATTGTACCTCTACCTTGAATATCAACTGTAGAATCATCACCAAACCTAACTTTGCCTAGTACTGCATGATCCAGATCTCTGAATTTCAGAACATCACCCGTCATATGATTACTTGCTCCATTGTCAAGATACCAAACACCCCCTGATGGTCCTCCCCCATCGGTCAAGTGTAACTCAGGCACCACCTTCACTTCATTCAGAAATACTCTCTGAACCCTACTGTCAGCTTGCTGAACCTAACTGTATGCACTGGACTGTTGCTCATCCAACAACAGCATCTCTGCAAGTAACACAGTCGGCTCTTTCTCCCCAGCCTTCACCAGGTGTGCCTCCTCTTTTTTCTTTTCACCAGGACATCTATTTGCATAATGTCCATAACCATGACACTTATAGCATTTAATGTGACTTTTGTCACGCTTACCAGTGCCATCTTTGCCGGTGTCACCGCCTCTGTCGTGACCGCCGTTTCCTCCGCCATGGCCACGACCCCGGCCTCGTCCACCACCATTCTTCCCTCTACTCGAAGAGTCACCTCCCGCGCTCTTCTGTCTGGCCTCCCATTTGGCCTGGGTGAGCAACACCTGTGACTCCCCAGATCGTGCACTGCCGCTGCCGCGACGTTTGCGCTCCTCGAACGCCTTCAGGCGACCCACAGCTTCGTCGAACGCTATTGTCTTGAGGTCATAAAACTGCTCGATCCCGGCCATGTCGGTGAGGTACCGCTCAGGCACGATGTCGAACAGTTTCTTGACCAGCTCCGCGTTGCCGATGCTCCCCCCAAGCTGCTGCATCTGACTGACAGAGATGTCAGTTTCCCCACAACTTGGTCAAGTGGATCGTCCTCCTTCATCCGGACGGCGTCGAACTCGCTTTCAGCGTCTGTAGCCGTGCGTCCCGCACGCGATCTGCGCCGACGAACCGGACCTTGAGGGAGTCCCACACCTTCCCCGTCTTCTTCTTGGCGACTTGCATCAACAAATCATCAGGAATGCATTGAAGAAGGTTGGCCTTGATCTTCTTTTCCTTGGCGGTCATCTTCGCCGCCTCCGCCGCGGTCGGCGCCGTTGCCGACGCGTTTGCCTCCGGCTCCACGATCTCCCACTCCTCCCGATCCTCCATGATGGCTTGAACACGTATACACCAGCTGGTGTAGTTGGTGTTCGTCAGGGTAGGGTAGATCTGGCGTGCTTCCCCGCCGCCACGCGCTCCCTCCCCGCCGCCGCCACTGCCGCTGGCAACTATCGACATGGCTAAGATTTAAGTGGCTCCGCGAATGATCGATGGCTCCGATACCACGTGTTAGCACCAGGAACACGATCAAACGCTGTATGTGTGGATGGATCAAGAATCAAATCGCAAGAACACGAAGAACACAGAGAATGTTCAGGCAACCGCCACTATGGCGACAGGGTGGACAGCGCCCCTTTTCGCTTTCAAGTTCTCACAACACGATATGCCTAACCGGCTTACAAGACGTGATACCCACACATTGATGTCTCCACTCCTAATACATGGAGCTAACTCAGCAATTTTACACAAAGACACCTGCTAAAATAAAGATATGAAATGCTGAAAAACACATTCTTTAGAAAACCACCAAGTCATGGACTCGGTCACCGCCTCAGCTCCTCCCACTGCGCGTCCAAGTTTCAAACTGAAACTTTCCTGCTCCCAGCTCACCTCCTGGCTCTGAACTCCTCTGAATGCATCAACAGCGATACATCTTATCAGGCTTACACTAACACGCGCCACTTTGGGGACGCCCTCCCCGGCCTCCAGGTGATTGGCGAGCAGGGCGCTTCACCGCCGCCGAGACGCCGTTCACGCTCGTGGAAGCGTTTTCTTGAAGCGCACGCATGGCGAGTCTGCGCGAATCTTGGATCGACGATGGCTTGTTCGGCACGCTGTGCTGCGTCCACATGGTGAACTACGTGCCGCGCCCTGCGCCAGTGTCGGGTCGCGCTGCCGCCGGCGACGACGCCAGCGATGACGAAGGCGGTGAGACCGAGGCACACCCGTCGACGGTGTTCGGTCCCACGCTCGACTCGTTCGACGTGGTGGCGAAGGGTTACCATCTGCCAGAGCTGCACATCGGGGACTGGCTGGTGTTCCACGACGTTGGCGCCTACACCACCGTGCTGAGCTGTCGCCCTGCTCACTCGGCTTATAAGCCATACTTTTTTCAACCAACGAACATTATTTTTCTCTCACAATAAATTAGTCAATAGTACTTTCGATTATGGCTTATCAAATGGCGAACCGACAACTCAAAACTTCAATGGCTTCTCCACGTCCGACATGAAAACCTACCTTGCCTTCTCCTCTTCTAGATTTCGATCTACTAGTACAACCCTTATTTAGGAACAAAATTCTATGCGGTGGGCAACTTTTCATATGGTGCGACACCACCTGTATGCCATTCGATCAAGCAGATGATGGATGGGGCCCGATGTGTGTTTTTTAATCCTTTTTTATTCAATATTTTAATAATAATTGCTTTTAACTTTTTTTTGCAAATCTAACCCTTTTGGTCGTGCCAGCGCACGACCAAATAACGTTGTCGCGCCACATGCAATGGTGCGACAACATCCACCACGTTAGACGGCATTTCCAACTTTGAAAACGCTATCCGCCACTCTCGGCGACGTGATAAAGATTGTGCATCGTCACACACCGAGAGTGGCGTGACAAGACAAAACTTTAAAAATCATAACTTTTTGATACGATGTCGGATGAAGATGAATTTCATATGAACATTGTAGCTTTCAATGAGATCTGAAACTTTATTGTTTTGAGTTTTTTTTTCATTTGAGGACATTAACATGCTCAAAAAATAATATAAAATTTCAGGAGTATAATAACCCGTACTAATACTTGTCGCATTAGAAAAATAATATCATTTTTTGTATGTTGTCAAATAAAGATACTTTTTATATGAAAGTTGTATCTATCAATGAGATCTACAACTTTGTAGTTTTGAGTTTTAACATTTGAAGTCATTAAAATGCTCAAAAATAATATAAAATTTTATGAGCATAACAACCACGTACTAGTACTTGTCTTATTAAAAAATAATATCTTTTTGTATGTTGTCAAATGAAGATACTTTTACCACGAAAGTTGTAGCCCTCAATGGGATCTACAACTTTGTAGTATTGAGTTTTAATATTTGGAGTCGTTAAGATGCTCAAAAAAATAATATAATATTTTAGTTATAATAATAATCGTATTAGCGCTTATGTCGCATTAGAAAATAATATCGATTTTGTATTGTATCAAATGAAGATATATTTTATATAAAATTAGAGCTCTCTATGACATCTACAACTTTAATTTGAAAAGTATTTTTATATGACATCGAATAAGAAATATACGATTTTTCTAAAAGATAAGCTTTTATACACGATTAATATCTTTGCTAAAACTTCATATTAGTTATTAGAGTATGTTAGCGACCTCAAATATGAAAACTCAAAACTATAAACTTGTAGATCTCACTAAGGTCTATAACTTTGATATAAGAATGTATCTTCATTTGACATCATACAAAAGAATATTATTTTTAAGTGCGCAAGCAGTGTGTACGCCATTATTATAGTGCTGAAATTTTATATTATTTTTGAGCATCTTAACGTTCTCAAACGATAAAACTCAAAACTAGAAAGTCGTAGATCTCGTCGAGATCTACAATTTTCATACAAAAATCATCTTCATCCGACTTCATATTGAAGAGTTATGTTTTTTGAAAATTTAGTCTTGTCATGCCACTCCCGATGACGCGACAAAACAATCTTTATTACGCCACCAAGGCTGGCGTGACAAGCTTTCCACGTCGAAAACTCCGTCGAACATGGCGTGATGTTGCGCGCCACATGCGTTGGCGCGACAACGTTGTTTGGTCACGCTAGCGGGACTGGTGCGACCAAAAGGGTCATATCTATTTTTTTGAACAGTTATTATTAAAATATTGAATAAAAATGATTAAAAAAATCCCTGGTGGAGACAAAAGCATGATGCACGTAGATGTGGGCGGTGTCGCACTCAACACCAGCAGGGCTCTGTTCGGCTGGTCTATAAGCCGCTTGTGTTGATTCGTACGGCTGATTTGTTGGAAGAGAAAAATACTATACCATGGCTGATAAACCGGCTTATAAGCCAGCTTATAATGGCAGCCGAACAGAGCCCAAGCTTGTTCGACACCGCCACATATGTTTTTTTCCTCTTATTTATACTCGACACCAGCAGCCTTGTTCGGCACCCTGATTGTGGAGGGTTTAGTTCCACCCTGATTGTTAAAGGTGGGTAAGACCAACATATAAGGCTTCTAGAGTCTATCCCACCATTCTCGTGTTAATTCTTTTACTCGAAGCGAAGCAAGGATGAAAGCGTAAGTGAGATGGTGGTAGGTACGATTTACTCAGCGTGTAGAGTATACTAGGACAAGATGGAGAAAGTATTACTCTGTTCTAATCTATGTTGTTTTCATCGTGTATGCACCTGCATTGCATATTGCTCCTCTGGGAACTCCAGCAGAGCCCTCAAACTAAGGCCTCTATTTTTAGTTTGAGGGCTCAATTTCTTTTGATTTACTAATGAGTCCTTAGAGAACTCTAGCAGGAGCCCTCAAACTAAGGGCTCAATTTCTTTGGTTCTACTCTAGCAGGAGCCCTTAAATCAGGACTCTCAAATTAATCCCTATAGAGGGTGACACACAAACCCACTTGTCATCCTTGTTGATTGAGTGACACGGGACCCACTCGACATCCTTGTCGCTCTAATCGGGTGAGATATGAACTACACAGGAGAGGGGTCAGGGTTGCGGATCTCGCAGTGTGTGCCATAAGAAGAAGCATGTGCGGGGAGCCATCTTCGAGGTTTCTCACCGTCGGAGGAAGAACCGGGCATTGCTCGTGCGACGTGGAGCCTCATCGAGGAGGCGGCTTTGAGCCGAGCGTACTCGCAGGGGAGGGGATTCATGCTGGGTGGGAGCTACGCTGGAGCACCAACCACTGGGTCGCAGGGTTGCACCGATCACATCGGCGGTGCTGCCGGATGAAAGAAGATAGAAAGGAAAGAGGAAAAAAAAGAAAACTGGTTTAAGAGCCCCACGTGCAAGTGTCTCATCTCATTTTTCAACATCTCTCAACTAAACTAGAGCAGGGATGATCCTGTCCCCCTCAACCATACACAATGCAGGGACCATCCCATCCCAAAAACCTGAAATGGATTCATCACATCTCTCTCATCTCAGTACCAACACAGCCGTAGCTTTCATGACATCTTAGGCAACTCCATTGTGCATTCTAAGATCAAGCCCAATAATATAAGACTCGTCTATAAATAAAGCCAAATAACCAATAAACAAGTTTAAAGTCTAATACATACAACAACTAATCTCTTTGTCTACTATAAACACTGTTTTTATTCGTATGGAAAGGAAAGGGAGCCGGATGGGATAACTGGGTAGGCCACTCGATTGGAAAAGGAGTCTCGGCCTACGTGTTGTTGTGGTTGAGGGAGGCACCCATAAGGTTAGTTTTCTCTCTCCTCGTGTAGCTAACGTGGTGGGCGATTCGCCTTGTACCTGTCCTAACCCATTGCAAAGAGGAGAGAGCAGAAAGCAAATATGGGCAATACATTAGAGTGCAGATGCTAGCATAACACCACCTTACACAGTGCAAACAGTCGAAACCATTTTTTTTCTTCTTTCATCCTTTCACCTCTCTTATTCTCTCATCACTGGTTGCTCATCCACCAACACAGTTTTTTATTTAGTGTAGGGCCCACCTTAGTATGTATAAGGAATTTACACGTTGGAAAACTTTCTGGCTAAGGACCTATTGACGTGTCAACCTTTACACTTTGCTAAGAGACAACTCCGTCTGATAAGAAGTCAACACCTTCGACTTTATCCAAAATTTTACAATAAAGTAGTAATATTTATTGGCCAGTTTGTTTCGCTAAAATTTTACTTACGCTGATACTTATGCTAATTTATTGTAAGAGAAAAATATTGTTCATCGTTGAAAAGTACTGCTGAAGTAATGCTGAAGAATAGGGCTATTATATGGAATAAATATCATTAAATAAATTATAAAATATGTTTTTATAATAAATCTATTTGAAAATATAATCATTGATATTATTTTCTTAAAATTTAAGAAAATTTGACCTGTCCTAAATCTATAATTATATATGTTTTTTGAACAGCGGGAGTACTCTCGTTTAGTGCCTTGTACTTACCCTTA